ACCATCTTTACATGGAGTCCTGGTGTAGTGCTGCAGGATAATGCACTAGGCCACAAGGTCGATTTGAACCACAAGGTTGGCAATTCAAACTCATCAGTCGCTCCTTGGAAACCTTATTACAGGGTCGCTATGAGTTGGAACCAACTCAACAGCACCAATCAACAAACAATCTTTACGTGAGTAGATTACCTCATCTTTCTCTCTTGAAGCAGCTGGTAGATTCAAACCACCAACCTTTAGCATAGCAGCTGAGAGCTTAACCATGGCACCACCAAGAGCTCTAGGGGATCCGGACACCTTTACATGGGGGCTTCACAAAGTTCATGGGAAATGAAGTGAGAAGCAAATGGAATTTTTTCATGAACTTTTGAAAGTGCTCTTGTAATTTTCAAAACCTTCCTAGAGGTTGTGAGGCAGTTGGACCAGCTGGGACTGAGCTTTAGGGAACCTCTTCCGTGAAACAGTACTTTTTTGTCAAGGCTTTTCAGGGGACTTTAGGACATGGAAGGTGTGTCTTCCAAACTATTCTTGGCACAGAGCGTCCGGGTCTCAGGCCTGGCTTCCTTGCTTGTTAGCATTGGATCCTCAGGCTTGTTGGAGTTCTTGTTTACCCATCTGTACTGTAAACAAAGTGGAGTCCTGGTGTGGCACTGTAGGATAAGCAGTGGACTAAAAGGTCAGTTTGAATCACAAGGTTGGCAGTTCAAACCCACCAGGCACTCCTTGGAAACACCCTATACAGGGTGCTATGAATTGGGACCAACTTGACTACACTTCACGACAACAGAACAAAACTATAAAGAAAGGAGCCAAACCTATCTCAGAAGGCTAGCCTGAGAATTGTGAGACATCCACATACGACACGGAGCCCGGCACCTGTTCACACTGAATTGTGGCAGTGTAGGATAAGCACAGGACTGCAAATCACAAGGTCAACAGTTCAAATCCACCAGCTGCTTCTCGGAAACCCTATTCAGGAGTGCTGTGAGTTGGAGCTGACTCAGTGACACTTAACAACAACAACATAGGAGTTCTGGTGTGTCATTGTAGGATAAGCACTAGACTGCTAACCACAAAGTTGGCAGTTCAAATCCACCAGCCACTCCTTGTAAACTCTATACAGGGTTGCTATGAGTCAGAAACAACCCAATGGGACTTAACAACAACATTGTTATGAGGGACCCCCTAGGTGGTGCAAATATTAAGGACCTGGAGGCTTGAATCCATGCAGAATTGTATCAGAAGAAAGGCCTGGCGATCTGCTTCTGAACACTCAGCCACTACCTTACGTAGCACAGTTCATACACACAACGGAATCAAGTTATTATTTCTGTAAAGTCAGAGTCAGGGGAAGGAAGATCAAATGAGCTCGGAAGGTGGACTGACTGACGGCCTTTGTTCTCTTCCATTCCCCCTCTCCCCCTGCTCTCAGGACGGCTCTCTGGGGAACATCGATGACTTGGCCCAGCAGTATGCAGATTATTACAATACCTATTTCTCTGATGTGTACGAGCGGATGGAGGAGCTGCGCAAGCGGCGAGTTTCCCAGGATCTGGATGCGGTGAGTGGGCGTGGCCGCTCCTGTGTAGGCTCCTGATCTAACGCCCCGCTCTGGTCTTTTTAAAGATCTCGGCCTGTCTGCTTTAAGGCCACACTACTATAGGTTGGGGAGAAAAATTCAGATCCCTGAAGGATCAGCTCTGGTTTTCAGCAGACATCAAACAGATGGGGCAATATGATCAAATCTTTACATATGTTGACCGATTGACAATATTGATGGTATTGACCAGTATAGAGTACATTTTTCTGAAGCACGAGGTTGGCTTTCAAACCCACTAGCCGCTTTTCAAAACCCTAGAAGGGTCGCTGTGAGTTGGAACTGACTCAATGGTACTCAACAACAACATGCCCAAACCAAATTGGTCTTCTTTCAGTATTGTTATGGTATTTTTACATCAGCAGTACAATCCTGAATGGATGGATGAAGGGAAGGAGAGAGGGAGAAAAGGAAGGAAAGAAGGTAGAATTCTAGAGAGAAAATTCTGACAAGCAGATATTAATAGATTATTATTTTCTTTTTTTCATCAGTTTAGCCCCTGTGGGGATGGTGTTTAATGGGTAGATCAAGGCTGTTCAGAAGTGTCAGTTGGAGTAGGGACTGAAAGCCATCGCCCCAGGAGCCCCACAGCACAACCCAGGCAGGCACGTAGGAGTCACTGCTGCCAAGGGCTGTTTCCTCTAACGCTGTCCCCTGGCATGTGTAGATGGTGGGGTTCTTGACCTCCTTTAAGCAGTCTCAAGTGACAAGAGACTCCCATGCTCAGTTCAAATGAATTAGACTCTGGTTGGAGCCTAGTTAATGAGAATATGTTTTCCGTTAGCAAGATTGCAGTAGAACAGCAACTTAAATAGTGCACTGACTTCTTTAATGTTGCGATTAAAAAATAAATAAATTGTGGTAAAATGTTTATAGTATCCAATTTACCATTTTTAAGTGTCCTGTTAATTCAGTGACGTTAAGTACGTGGCACGGAGTCTGGTGTGGTGCTGTAGGATAAAGCACTTGGACCACAAGGTCGGTTAGATCCACAAGGTCAGTGGTTCAAACTAACCAGCTGCTCCTTGCAAACCCTATATAGGGGTTGCTGTGAGTCAGAACTGATTCGACTGCACTTAACAACAACAACAATCACGTGGCACAGTGGCAGCAGCAATGGGCTCAAGAGTAACAACAATTGTGAGGATGGCGTAGGACCAGGCAGTGTTTCGTTCTGCTATGCGCAGGGTCGCTATGAGTCAGAATCAATTCAATGACATTGGTGATGGTAGTTATGGGCCGTGGAGTCAGTTCCAACTCATAGTGACCCTGCACAGGGTTTCCGAGGCTCTAAATCTTTAGGGGAGCAGAAAGCTTCATCTTTCTCCTGCAGAACAGCTGGTAGCTTCGAACTGCTGACCTTGAGGTTCGTAGCCCAATTCGTAACCACTACGCTACCAGAGACACTCAGCAACAACAATTACAGTCACAGTGTTATAACCCCATCAGAATTATTTCCCAAACCTTTTCATCATCACAAACAGAAGAAACTTAGCACCCCTTTGTTTTTGTTGTTGTTAAGTGCCCTTGAGCCAGTTCTGACTCATAGCGATCTATGAGGAGCAGCTAATGAGTTTGAACTGCCAACCTTGCAGTTCAAACCGACCTTGCAGTCCAGTGCTTATCCTATAGCACCACATCAGGTCTCCTCTCTTGGAATTCCCAATTCCTTCTCTCCCAGCCTCTGCTAACCTCTAGTATACTTTGTTCTCTCTGCATTTGCCTAGTATAGATCTTTCATATGGTGGTGATGGTGGTGGTTGTGTGCTGTTGACTTGGTTCTGACTCATAACAACCCTGTGTAGAGTTTCTGAGGCTGTAAGTCTTTATGGGAGCAAAGAAGCCTCATCTTTCTCCTGTGGAGCAGCTGGTAGATTCAAACTGCTGACATTGCTAATAGCAGCTCAACCTGTAACTCACTACGCGATTAAGGCTCTTAATCTTTCATATAGACAGGATCATAATATTTAGTCCTTTAGTGTCTGGTTTAGTTCACTTAGCACAAGGATTTTTAAGGATCTTGTCTACCATGGCCTGCACCAGGACTTTGTTGTGGTTTATGACTGAGTGCTACGCTGTTATATGTAAGTAGTAAAGAAAAGTAAAGTAATTCTGATCCTGAATGATCTGTATGAAGTCTGGTGGCAGACTTTGTGGCCTGCCTAGACACTTGAACTATGCAAGGAAATGATTGCCTTCAGTTGGTAGATGGGCTGACCCGTGATACCACACTGAAGAACTCTCACAGATTCTACCTGGGTAAGAGATGGGGTTAGAATACTCGTCCCATGGTATTTGGACACCTTGGAAGAGAACTTCGTAGTAAGGAATGAAGCCTGCCTGTTGGTGGATAAATAAGTTCCTTTCCATTTAGACAGATGGATCTAATTTGGTGTGCTGTGTTCCCGAGCTGCCAAAGACATTCTGGTGAGAAAAACACCCCATGAGTCTAATTAGTTCCCATCCAAGGTGTGAGAATTTGGTGATGGGTAAAATTGATGGGAGCTAATTCAAGCCAGATTGGAAACTCGACTGTTCATTCTTTAAAATCTACTTATGTGAGAAAATTAGGATCCCAGGCTGGCCTGTTTATGTTCTTGTTGTATGCAATCCCACGCAAGTCCCTACAGGAAAGGGAAGCCCTTAGACCATGAAGGATAAAGTTAGGTGCTGTGTGTCACATGTCCTTTACCTGGCTCTGAAATCTACAAGTTCACGTGTGACATGTTGTAAGGCTACCTGTCCTACAGGCTATCTATGTGGCATAATGACTTTCTGAACATTCCTTCCCACAGTGGTTAGCTGATCACAGATTTGAGTCTTGGTTGGACCTCAGTTTTCTTGAAAAGCTACAATTTTCCATGAAGAAGGCCCTTTTTATTGCATCAGAATTTTACATGTATTTCTAGACTTTCAATTCTGCCTTCAGACAAGTAGACAAACTGTTCCTTATTTGGCCATTGGAACAGGTTTGTGTTGTTGGAATTAGGTTGAGGACATGCAACCTAATTCTTTCCTTTGCTTGTTAACAAGCAACCTCAAGGAATCCTGGTGGCACAGTCATTGAAGTGCTCTGCTGCTAAGCAAAAGGTCAGCAGTTCAAACCCACCAGCCACTCTGCTGGAGAAAGATGTGACAGTGTGCTTCCATATATACGACAGTCTTGGAAACCCTATAGAGCAGTTCTCCTCTGTCTGGTAGCATCCCTGTGACTCAGAATTGACTTGAGGGCAGTAGGTAAGCAACCCTCAGAAGAAGCTGACTGACAGATGACTTTGAGAGAAAATAACTGTTCTGAATTGAATTGTGTTTCCCAAAATATGTGTTGTAACCCTAACCCCTGTACCTCTGGTTATCATCCCATTTGGGAAAGGGTTTTCTTTGTTAAGAGTATGTGGTGTGCTTTAAGCCAATCATTTTTGAGATATAGAAGAGCAGATAAGGCACAGAGAATCAAGCCAGGGTGGGGCGATAGATTCCACGCCACATGAAGATCTCCAAGGAACCGAGAAACAGAAGCTGAAAAGAGGCAAAGATCTTCCCCCGAAGCTATAGACAGAGAAAGCCTTCCCCGTGAACCGGTGCCCTGAGGTCAGACTTCTGGCATCCTAAACTAAGAGAACAAATTTCAGTTCATTAAAACCCACGCACTTGTGGTATTTCTATTATAGCAATCCTAGAAAACCAAGACAATAACAACAAGCTGTCAGAGGAATAGTAACATATTAGGAACCGAATGCATTTTATAGAGGAGAAAAGAAGCTTTACATTAGCTATAACTGTCATAGAAAAAGTCATTTAGAAGACAGCCTTGAGTGTGGGGAGCTTTAGGTGTTGGGGTAAAATTACTGGCTTATGAGGTTTTCATTACAAACTATCTGGGTGAATTCTGTGGACTAAGGGACGAGTCTGCAGAATTAATTCTTTGGCTATATGTGTTTGTGTTTAAAAAGCTAAAGAAGTATTGTCATTTAGAGCTAATTCCATGTCAACCGGAGAACAAACAGACAGACAAAAGACTCGGCCCGCAGAGATCTCCAACTTAACCCTGAAAAATAAAGGTTCCCATAATTAGGTTAGTAATTAACTTTCTGGACCGTCTGTGATGCCCCTGTCTAGTATTTCATCACCTGGCTCCTCACTGGACAGACAGAGCATTTGATAAAGTATCATTGGGCCCAGCAATTTAGATGAAGACAACAGTGCAGATGGGTAAAAATTCAGCCGGAGAAGACAGGCTTATGATTCAGATTTATAACGATGGCAAGGACATTTATTTCTCACCAAATGGGCCCTAAAGGCTCGGTACGTTTGGATCTGTCCGTTGTCTCTGCTGGGCATGGAGACATTAGTGCTTCTGAGCAGTTGGGATGTTGCCCATCCTTCCACATATTTGGCACGATGCTTTGCACTGTGCGTGTTTTTTTGGCTGGGAAAAACTTTGATCGGAAATGACAGCAGCTTTCCAAGTCCATAATGGGTCCATGTCTAGTGATACTAAGTCTGACATCTGTCAAAGTGACTGCTGTGGCCAGGAAAGGGACATGCTCAAGGTGGCCTCTTTGAAATGGAGTCTGCTTGAGGCTTGGCAGACAACAAGTCCCACCCACAGACCTAAGTACTGCTGATGGCAGATGTATAAACCACCAGGGCCCCGCCTCACCCAGGTGCCAAATCATCACTCATGACTGTGCTCACAAGGGAGAGGGGGCGTGGCACAGGCTCACACCCAGGTCCCAGGATTTGGGATGCAGTATAAACTATTGCATATTATAACAGGTGAGTGGGGATATCAGAGCCGCTGCTGATGGTGAAAGTCTGATTCTGAGCCCTAAGTATTGTGGTTTTAATAATTTCTCTTTCTTAGACTAAGATATAAAGAGCTTAGAAGTGCTGTGGGTTAGACACTGGGCTGCTAACCACTAGGTCAGCGGTTCAAACCCACCAACTGTTTCATAGGAGAA